TAACGGTTCACGGTATGTATTGAACCGTTTCGGTGCGGCCTGTCCGGTTCGGTACACTTGCGTACCGTTTCGGTACATTTTTTTAATTAAATAATATAAATTTATTATCAGCGCGATATTAAGCACAGCGGAACAATGTTCCTATGCAAGTTTCTGCACGGACACTATTGAGTGACGCACAGTAGAGCTGCACGGGTAACTGTGAGAAATGGCAACAGCGAAAGAGAAGCCAGAGTTTGAAGACTCTTCGACCTCACTACGGTCTCCTGTTTGAGAACACTTTGGCTTCTCTGTTAAAATTCATAACGGGGATAGACGAGTGGATAAATTTAAAGTTGTATGCCGACATTATTCCACGGAGATCGGGCAGGCAACACATCAACATTTTCTACTGCTGAAGATATTTTCACTGCAACCAGATCTGTGCTCTCTTCAGAAAATGTGGATAGGTTAATCTTTTTAGCCAAAAACTTAAAACTTGAATAGTTAGTTTTGTTGATATACAAGCTGAAGCTGTTGCTAGTGGTAAAAGTTTTCAGGTCCTAACTAGTTGCAGTACTTAATTTTTTATTTTAAAAATGTGTATTTCTTTATAGAGTGCAATTTATTTAAAATACCACCCACGTGTCACTTTTATATATTGTATGCAAGAATTCTATTGTGTATTGGCAGCTTTTCAAAATCAACTGAACCGAGCTCTCCAAGACACAGTCCCGAACACTATTTTAGCGTACCGCTACACCCCACATATATATATATATATATACATACATATATACATACATATACATACATATACATACATATATATATATACATAAATATCTTTTTTTAATGATATACATATACATATATATATACATATACATACACATATACATATATATACATATACATACACATATATACATATATATATACATATACATACACATATATACATATATATATACATATACATACACATATACATATACATATATATATATATATATATATATATATATATATATATATGTCTTTGAATATACAGTGGCTCGCAAAAGTATTCGGCCCCCTTGAACTTTTCCACATTTTGTCACATTACAGCCACAAACATGAATCAATTTTATTGGAATTCCACGTGAAAGACCAATACAAAGTGGTGTACACGTGAGAAGTGGAACGAAAATCGTACATGATTCCAAACATTTTTAACAAATAAAGAACTGAAAAGTGGGGTGTGCATAATTATTCAGCCCCCTGAGTCAATACTTTGTAGAACCACCTTTTGCTGCAATTACAGCTGCCAGTCTTTTAGGGTATGTCTCTACCAGCTTTGCACATCTAGAGACTGAAATTCTTGCCCATTCTTCTTTGCAAAACAGTTCCAGCTCAGTCACATTAGATGGACAGCGTTTGTGAACAGCAGTTTTCAGATCTTGCCACAGATTCTCAATTGGATTTAGATCTGGACTTTGACTGGGCCATTCTAACACATGGATATGTTTTGTTTTAAACCATTCCATTGTTGCCCTGGCTTTATGTTTAGGGTCGTTGTCCTGCTGGAAGGTGAACCTCCGCCCCAGTCTCAAGTCTTTGGCAGACTCCAAGAGGTTTTCTTCCAAGATTGCCCTGTATTTGGCTCCATCCATCTTCCCATCAACTCTGACCAGCTTCCCTGTCCCTGCTAAAGAGAAGCACCCCCAGAGCATGATGCTGCCACCACCATATTTGACAGTGGGGATGGTGTGTTCAGAGTGATGTGCAGTGTTAGTTTTCCGCCACACATAGCGTTTTGCATTTTGGCCAAAAAGTTCCATTTTGGTCTCATCTGACCAGAGCACCTTCTTCGACATGTTTGCTGTGTCCCCCACATGGCTTGTGGCAAACTGCAAACGGGACTTCTTATGGTTTTCTTTTAACAATGGCTTTCTTCTTGCCACTCTTCCATAAAGGCCAACTTTGTGCAGTGCACGACTAATAGTTGTCCTATGGACAGATTCCCCCACCTGAGCTGTAGATCTCTGCAGCTCGTCCAGAGTCACCATGGGCCTCTTGGCTGCATTTCTGATCAGCGCTCTCCTTGTTCGGCCTGTGAGTTTAGGTGGACGGCCTTGTCTTGGTAGGTTTACAGTTGTGCCATACTCCTTCCATTTCTGAATGATTGCTTGAACAGTGCTCCGTGGGATGTTCAAGGCTCGGGAAATCTTTTTGTACCCTAAGCCTGCTTTAAATTTCTCTATAACTTTTTCCCTGACCTGTCTGGTGTGTTCTTTGGACTTCATGGTGTTGTTGCTCCCAATATTCTCTTAGACAACCTCTGAGGCTGTCACAGGGCAGCTGTATTTGTACTGACATTAGATTACACACAGGTGCATTTAGTCATTAGCACTCATCAGGCAATGTCTATGGGCAACTGACTGCACTCAGACCAAAGGGGGCTGAATAATTATGCACACCCCACTTTTCAGTTCTTTATTTGTTAAAAATGTTTGGAATCATGTACGATTTTCGTTCCACTTCTCACGTGTACACCACTTTGTATTGGTCTTTCACGTGGAATTCCAATAAAATTGATTCATGTTTGTGGCTGTAATGTGACAAAATGTGGAAAAGTTCAAGGGGCCGAATACTTTTGCAAGCCACTGTATTAGATGTACAACAAATGGAGCACAAAAGACAACAATAAAAACAGAACTCTGATTACTTGTGAACATTGTGGACACTGGCTGTGATCATTATCCCATAACAAATCAACGCCAGAATGAAGACATGTGCTGCATACCTGACAGTCCAAAAATACACAGTTTCAGTGGATAAAATTAACAACTATTGGGAAAAAAAAACAAACACACACACACACAAACGTTTTAAAAACCATTATGAGTACATGTTTCTGAAAGTTATGTTCATGTTTAATGCATGCAAACAATCTGAACAACCATCATAGAGCTACCATTTAAGATCTTAAATTATCGGGAGATTATGAGGGATATTAGGAATGTTGAGAATATTAGAAATACAATCAAGCAACATTCTGGTATAATATATCAGACATATTAACATTTTTTGGCATGTACAATCGCTGTATAAATCTATCTATTTTGTAAAAATGACAAGAAAGCACTAAGTTTCAGGTAGGAAGTTGTGTTATGATTACCAGCCAAAGCAAAACCAGAGCAATGAAGCTCCAAGACTAAGAGCGACTGCATGGCGTGTCCTGGGGGTGGCATGACGAGGACTGAGATAGATGCGGAACCAGAATGCTGCCACTAGCCCAAACAGCTGACAGGCAATGAAGTTCACCTAAGCGAGGAAGAGGTAGAGGTCAGGATAAAACAGGACATGTCCGGATTTCATTTGGACACATTTCAGGAATGCCTATTTAAAAATATATATTTAAAGAATATTGGAACACATGGAAGGGTGGCATGGTGGCACAGTGGGTAGCACTGTGGCCTTCCAGTTAGGTTGCTGGTTCGAGGATCACCGGTGACCTTCCTGGAAGGAGTTTGCATGTTCTCCCTGTGCTTGCATGGGTTTCCACCAGGTACTCCAGTTTCCCAGTAATTTTACAAGCATTTAACAATTTATATGCAAATGAGATCGCCTGCACTCCCTCAGGTCTTAAAGGGATAAATAACAATTTAAAGAGCAAAACACTTAAAATACAGTTTACAAAGCAACCATTTGGCTCTTTTAATAATTAGATTTTTTTATTATTTAAAGGTCAATGGATTAAAACTGCTGTAGTTTTGGTAAAGTTTTATGTTCTTTTTTTAATGATTTCAACTGAAGAAAAAAGCAAGTCATAAGTAATTAGATTTTTTTGCATTTGTTTAAATGACGATCGACTACAAATAGTGATTGGTTATTTGTGAAATAATCACCAGTGTGGTCCCTATTGGATATGTTCAAGGGATAGTGGTTTGGTTGATTGGGAATTTATTATTAAGCTGCTCATTGAGGTCACCCATCAACTTGTTTCTTTAACTGTAGAAGGTATCTCCAACGCCTGACTGAAACCAAAACAAACATGGGAAGAACTTGCAAAAGTAAAGCATTCAACTCTGTTTCAGAGATTTCTTCATATTCAAACACAAACAACGGGTTTCACCAAGCTACCATTTAGAAGATCCAGGCTTTGATGTCCACTGATTTAACAAAAGTAGGTATACACACATTGTTTGACATAGATGGAGACAAGATGAGAGGTTTGGTTTACAGACTAGTCGAATGAGTTCAGAGAACATTGCAGAACCTGTTCTGCATGACGTCTTCAGTAGTGAAACTGCACAGGACAGGTCCAGCAAGTACTCTTTCTTGTCTGAACAGAAACTACCTGAACCCCTCCACACCTCAAATTGATTTGCACAAAAATCAATCCATCCATGAATGTTTCGCTTAGTGTACAGCACTTTAAAGGTTTCTTTGGAATTTAGGTTTGATAAGCTCTTAAGACAGTAAAGAACATTAACAGTATTTGTTATCTGAACATATAATAAAGAACACATTTTGGTTTGAAATTCTGTAAATATCGCAGTATCATAAGAAAGGAGTTAGTAAAAGCTCAACGAACAGATTGTTTATACACATACAGGTGCTGGTCATAGAATTAAAAAAAATTCTTTCATTCAAAAAGAGAACCATGTGTAATGTAAACATTCATTTTACACAGAATGGTATATTCCAAGATCAGAATCTTCGAATGTTTACTAAAACGAAAAGATATTTAGAAATGTCACACAACTGAAAAGTATGAACATGATCTTCTGAATTGTTGGGTCTGACCGATCACATCTTCCACTTTGAATTACCCCAAAGATTTGCAATGGGGTTAAGGTTACACGAGTTTGCTGGGGATCAAGATACTATGGTCCCTAACCAGGGACTGATGGCTTTTGCACTGTGTGCAGGTGTCAAAAAGGGTGTTGTAAAATGAAATCAGAAGTTGGAAGCACTGACATTACTTTTACTTTTATGCATTTAGCAGACGCTTTTCCGAAGCAAATTAGTCTTGCTTTGCTTGGAATTTGAACCCATGACCTTTGCGTTGTTAGCACAATGCTCTACCAACTGAGCCAATGAGTGCTAACCTTCCTGGGAGGCACCTCAGAAAACACAATAGACCTAATGAGATAGCGCCCACAACCATCACAGACTTTGGGAACCTCTGAACCTCAAGCAACGTGGATATGACTCTTCTCTCTTCAACCAGACCCTGTGACCTTGATTTCCCAAAGGAAATGACTAATTAAATTTCCAGAACTTAATGATCACTCAGTAGCAGAACTGTCCTTTTTATCTTGATACTTGTTAAAGAGTGGCTCAACACAAGGAATGTAACGGCTGAAACCCTTGTCTTACATCTGTGTGGTGGCTCTTGACACCAGCTGACACCAGCTGTAGAGTAATTATGTTGGCTTGCAGAGCCAACATATTGTTATCTCACTTAAACTTATTATGTTGGCTTGCAAAGCCAACATATTGTTATTGCTCTTAAACTTATTATGTTGGCTTGCTTGCAAAGCCAACATATTGTTATTGCACCTAAACTTATTATTCTTCTTCTTCTTATTCTTCTTCTCTTTTCTTCTGACAAAAATTCTCAACACTACTCCTCCTAGCCCGTTCGAGCTACAGCCACGAAACTTTCAACACACCTCAAAGCTGTTATGTAGTTTGTTGCTATATCTCTTCGGACCGATTTGATCAGCGGTTTCCGTAAAAATCGCGAATTTCGGCCCAAAAATCGCCCAAGTCATTCCCTATGGGAGCCCTAGAGTGGTGATGTCATCGCTCACTCTAACTTTGAGCAAGCTCAGTCTTGTTGCTACTTGCACTGTTTTCTCAACTAAAAATTAACCTTTACACACACATTTTATATCTAAATGGTAGAGATTTTTGTCCTCTTTCAGTTGGTGCTGTTTTCATTTTAAAAAAACACACGGTTTTTACTCCAGGTGGCCTAAACCACAAGGAGTGCACTTAATTGCTCCATTCACCTCCATTCAAAAATTCTGGTGGATTCTGTTTAAAATCTCAATCGCAGGCTATTTTTAACTCGCCATAAATCATTCAAACTTTATCACAGCTTCACAAAATTTACACCATTCTCTTCCTTAAAATCTTGGGATTCTAACAGTAAAAGAAATATTTCAATACCTCTGTTCATTCTTTCGTAATGTTTATTTGTTTGAGGGTATGGATTTCTCTAAAATGAGCAGTTGCACAGAATCAAATGAAGGCTATTTGTAGCTCGCCATAATTTTTTTATTTCTAATCACACCTTCACAAAAATTACAGCATTCTCTTCGTTAGGGTCTTCTGCTTCTTACAAAGAAAGAATCATTTGGATATGTCTTACGGTTCTTCTATAATCTTTATTTGTTTGAGGCATGGAAATCGGATTTTCTCCAGCAGATTTGCCATCGTTTGAAAATCTGACAGTTGAGTCAGCTGACTCGTTTGAAAATCTGGCAGTTGATAACTCCAGGTGCAAGCTGATTTCAAATAAGTAGGTCAAAGGTGTCTCATTGACTTTCAATGGCCCATTGAAATGAATGGAGCATGAATCCCATAGATCCTATTGTGAAAGAGCTTCTGTAAATGATTGACACTGGAAAGTCATACTAGCATTAAGGAAGCAAATCACTTATCCAGCCAATCATTGCTTGTGATTTAACATAAATTAATTAAGCCACACCCACTTTTTGACATAACTTTCAATGTCAAATATCTTCTAAACGGAACACAGTAGAGACATGGGGGTTGCTTTATATTAATCTAAATGGAAAGTAGATTACAACATGATGTCACTAACTCCTCCATAGCAACCAAATTGTTTACCATAGCAACTATATTGCCACATCTCTATCTTAGCTTAGGAAAATGCTAGAGACTTGGGGGCTGGTAAGCTTCACCCATACTGACAGCTGAAACATTATATTATGTTAATGACACCTCCATGGCAACCAGACTGGTTACCATGGCAACCAATATGGCATGTCTCTATCTCAGCTTAGGAAAATCATAGAGAGATGGGGGTTGCTGTATTTTACCCGTATAGATATGGGGAGCAATATATTAGGTCAGCGACCCCTCCATAGCAACCAAACTGGTTACCATAGCAACCAATATGGCACAGCTCTATCTCAGCTTTGGAAAGTCATAGAGACATGGGGGTTGATGTATTGACATGGGGAACAATGTGTTAGGTCACTGACCCCTCCATAGCAACCAGACTGGTTACCATAGCAACCAATTTTGCATGTACCTATCTCAGCTCAGGAAAATCATAGAGACATGGGGGTTGCTGTAATTTACTCGTATTCATATGGGGAACAATATATTAGGTCAGCGACCCCTCCATAGCAACCACACTGTTACCATAGCAACCAATATGGCGTATCTCTATCTCAGCTTACGAAAGTCATAGAGACATGGGGGTTGGTGTATTTTACTCGTGTTGACATGGGGAACAATATGTTAGGTCACTGACCCCTCCATAGCAACCAGACTTGTTACCATAGCAACCAATTTTGCATGTACCTATCTCAGCCTATGAGAATCATAGAGACATGAGGGTTGGATTATGTTATTGTTGCGGAATTGACAACATTTTAAAAAAAAAGGTATTAACGGTACCAACGCAAGCCAACATCGAAGTTTGCGTGCAAACTTTAAAATCTAGTTCTTCTTCTTCTTCTTAGAACAAAAAAAATTACCGTCAACTCCTCCTAGCCCGTTCGAGCTACAGCCACGAAACTTTCAACACACCTCACAGCTGTTATGTAGTTTGTTGCTATGTCTTTTCGGACCGATTTGACCAGCGGTTTCCGTAAAAATCGCGAATTTCGGCCCAAAAATCGGCCAAGTCATTCCCTATGGGAGCCCTAGAGTGGTGATGTCATCGCTCACTCTAACTTTGAGCAAGCTCAGTCTTGTTGCTACTTGCACTGTTTTCTCAACTAAAAATTAACCTTTACACACACATTTTATATCTAAATGGTAGAGATTTTTGTCCTCTTTCAGTTGGTGCTGTTTTCATTTTTAAAAAACACACAGTTTTTACTCCAGGTGGCCTAAACCACAACGAGTGCACTTAATTGCTCCATTCACCTCCATTCAAAAATTCTGGTGGATTCTGTTTAAAATCTCAGTCGCAGGCTATTTTAAACTCGCCATAAATCATTCACACTTTATCACAGCTTCACAAAATTTACACCATTCTCTTCCTTAAAATCTTGGGATTCTAACAGTAAAATAAATATTTCAATACCTCTGTTCATTCTTTCGTAATGTTTATTTGTTTGAGGGTATGGATTTCTCTTAAATGAGCAGTTGCACAGAATCAAATGAAGGCTATTTGTAGCTCGCCATAATTTTTTTTTTTCTAATCACACCTTCACAAAAATTACAGCATTCTCTTCGTTAGGGTCTTCTGCTTCTTACAAAGAAAGAATCATTTCGATATGTCCTACGGTTCTTCTATAATCTTTATTTGTTTGAGGCATGGAAATCGGATTTTCTCCAGCAGATTTGCCATCGTTTGAAAATCTGACAGCTGAGTCAGCTGACTCGTTTGAAAATCTGGCAGTTGATAACTCCAGGTGCAAGCTGATTTCAAATAAGCAGGTCAAAGGTGTCTCATTGACTTTCAATGGCCCATTGAAATGAATGGAGCATGAACCCCATAGATCCTAATGTAAAGAGCTTCTGTAATTGATTGACACTGGAAAGTCATACAAGCATTAAGGAAGCAAATTACTTATCCAGCCCATCATTGCTTGTGAATTAACATAAATTAATTAAGCCACACCCACTTTTGGACATAACTTTCAATGTCAAATATCTTCTAAACGGAACACAGTAGAGACATGGGGGTTGCTTTATATTAGTCTAAATGGAAAGTAGATTACAACATGATGTCACTAACTCCTCCAGAGCAACCAAATTGTTTACCATAGTAACTATATTGCCACATCTCTATCATAGCTTAGGAAAATGCTAGAGACTTGGGGGCTGGTAAGCTTCACCCATACTGACAGCTGAAACATATTATGTTAATGACACATCCATAGCAACCAGACTGGTTACCATAGCAACCAATATGGCATGTCTCTATCTCAGCTTAGGAAAATCATAAAGAGATGGGGGTTGCTGTATTTTACCCGCATAGATATGGGGAGCAATATATTAGGTCAGCGACCCCTCCATAGCAACCAAACTGGTTACCATAGCAACCAATATGGCACAGCTCTATCTCAGCTTTGGAAAGTCATAGAGACATGGGGTTGATGTATTGACATGGGGAACAATGTGTTAGGTCACTGGCCCCTCCATAGCAACCAGACTGGTTACCATAGCAACCAATTTTGCATGTACCCATCTCAGCTCAGGAAAATCATAGAGACATGGGGGTTGCTGTAATTTACTCGTATTCATATAGGGAACAATATATTAGGTCAGCGACCCCTCCATAGCAACCACACTGTTACCATAGCAACCAATATGGCGTATCTCTATCTCAGCTTACGAAAGTCATAGAGACATGGGGGTTGGTGTATTTTACTCGTGTTGACATGGGGAACAATATGTTAGGTCACTGACCCCTCCATAGCAACCAGACTGGTTACCATAGCAACCAATATTGCATGTACCTATCTCAGCTTATGAGAATCATAGAGACATGGGGGTTGGATTATGTTATTGTTGCGGAATTGACAACATTTAAAAAAATAGGTATTAACGGTACCAACGCAAGCCAACATCGAAGTTTGCGTGCAAACTTTAAAATCTAGTTATTATTCTTCTTCTTCTCTTTTCTCACAAAAAATTTTTCCAGTACTACTCCTCCTAGCCCGTTTGAGCTACAGCCACGAAACTTTCCACGGTCGTCGAAGCTGTTCCCACTCGAGTTGCTATATCTCATCGGACCAATTCGACCAGTGGTTTCCGTAAAAATCGCGAATTTCGGGCCAAAAATCGCCCAAGTCATTCCCTATGGGGGCCCTAGAGTGGTGATGTCATCGCTCACTCTAACTTTGAGCAAGCTCAGTCTTGTTGATACTTGCACTGTTTTCTCAACTA